CCCCAAAACCCCAAAACCCCAAAACCCCGGTTTACCAAATTAGCATTGAAATCTCGCAGTTAAAGTAAATTAGGCAAATTATGACTCTCCAAAGATAGGCTCGAGCTCTAGAAATACTCTATTTGCTTTGAAATAGTGTTAGCATGCTCTTTTATACCTCTGCTAGCAAAATTAGTCTTGTTCCTCTTAAGGCAGATCAACTTTAAGAAGTAGTTTAGAATTTGATAAGCCATATCATGGTGGAAGTGAATCTAACACTTTTCTATAATTCCCATAGTTGTCAAACCACTAGTAAAGGAACTGTAATAATGCAGATATTATGAAGAAGGCTGGAGAAGGTGTGGGTTTTTGGATAAGTGGATTTTGAGCAGTTTGAGGTGAGTTTGGGATATGTGAGTTTTTATGGAGAAATTAAGGTTTACGGTTTGTGAAGGAGTAAATTTTAGAGGAATAATCAAACGTAGTCCAAATTTTCCAAACTTTCTCCAAAAGTGGGTCATGAGGCTCTTTAAATTATGAGCCTCCCAAATTAGATGAAAGGACTGATGCGATGAGATAAGTCGGCTTCAAATATGAAAGCATCTAAGGTAAACCTTAGAATATGAAAAGTATAGGTAAGGCTTAAGGCTAGAAGCTCGAATTACTACAGTAAGTATTTAACTAACTTTTGATATAATTGGTGACAGATTTAGGCCCTGGCTTCTTATCAAAGATAATGAAGTTTTGGTCAAAAGGAGACTGGCTATTGAGACTTCTTCTAGTTTTGTGAAAGTTGTTAAAAAATTTAACTTAAAGGGTTTATTATTTCTAACTGTATGTGTTAAACAATGCTAATAATAATCATAGCTTCACTTTTGGTTTAGAATTGAACTCTTGAAGCTTTTGAAGCTGATATAGAAGAGAGAAAGAATTTGGAGTACTTTCAAAATGTCAGAATTCGATATTTTTATTGATAATGATCTTACAACAGAAGCAATCCATTGACTTATAAAATTAATATGAGATTAATCAGATGCTTTACAAGCTTAGAGGTCTTCATCAGACAAAAATTTGAGGTAAGTTATTCCTTAGCATCAAATTACTATCGAAATTTCATATATTTTTCAACCTAATTTATTACATCTATTGATAATTTGAGGTGGTACTAAAGATGGACTGGCCATAGAATCTTTGCTTCATTTTAAAATTTATGCATAAGCCTACTTTCAGAATAATTTTAAAGCATAGTGAAGCCGCGGTTAAGGTCTAGCTAAAAACTTTCTAATAAATTTCGAACTTCTTCGACCATATAATTACTGATTTCACCAGATTACCTTCCTCGATAAAATTGTTAAAACAAGTATTTTAGAAATCCCAAGATGGTAGTCTAGCACTAATTTCTTCGCAAGAGCATAACATCCCAGAATTTGCAGCAAGAAAATAATATATACTAAATTTATGCTAAATCTAGTCGGCTTCTCAAATTAATACAGGAGAGCATTAAGGGAAAATATGCATTTAGCAATTTATTTAGTTTTCTGGCTGGTGAAGGAGGACTCGTGTGAAGCTGAGAAGGGTCTGAAAATTCATCAATTTGTGAGACGATAATGTATAAATCAGTGAATAGATTAGAGGCTGCTTTGAAATTATAACAGTTTCCATATTTTGTTCATATTAAACTGGTTTTTAGTTTTACTCAGGCCAATGCAGCCATATACAAATTTGAATGCCCTATTATTTAAGATACTCCAGAAATATTATTAGATTTGGTCTGGGCTTCTCTCTCTCAATGAAGATCGATCTGTTTCACTAATTTCTAATATCAAATGTATGCTAAATTTATCTAATATAGTTATTGAAAGGGTAAATTTTTTGCTCTATTCAATGCTCTCTTTTAGAATAAAACTTATGCTCTTTCTAGCAATCCAGAGTGGCATTAGCTTATAAGTTAAGGCGAAAAGAACAAAGAGTTTGCAGCATGGAAATTTTTTATCTTTTTGTAAATTTCTTTCTCTAGATAGGAGCTCATAAAAATTTTCTTAAAGCTAAGCTTCAGTATTCAATAATATGATCACAAAAAAGTTAAGCTTCTTAAGCACGAAGAATTAAATAGGACAAATAATTTGAATGCTCTCTTTTCAGAAAATGTAGATGTCCTATACATCGATTGAGAAACGATACCACCAGCCAGGTTAGAAGCTAAAACCCAACTGTACATTAAAATATGTCAACCCCATTATTAATATGAGTTTACTCAAGCTACATTGCAAAGTCAAAACAGAGTTCTTTGGCATAACTTTTATTCAGAATAGGTAGGAGAGAAGTCAGTTTTAACCAAAATTTTATTTAAGGATTATATAGATATGAATTCTGTGAAGCTCCTGAAGACTTTTGGCTCTTTTGCACGATTCCATGCTTCTTCTCAAGATGAGTCTAAAAGAAATTAGCATCATAGCTAGGATGAGCTTACCCTATAGTTATATCTTTCAGTAAAGCTGCTGTTTCAATATTCGCATTTGAACTTTTTCCTATTGCTAAGTTGAGGCTTCTCATGCTGAATTAAATGCTTTCTCATATTTCCCTTCTGGGTAAATCCTTTCCCACAGAATTTACAAATGAAGGGTCTCACTCCATAATGCATTCTAATGTGGTCTAGTAAGTTCCAAGTCCTCATGAAAGTTTTGTTGCATTGATGAAAGTCTCACTTGTAAACCATAACCATCTTTCCATTCTTATCATTTTGCTGGACAAAGCTTGAGTAAGGATATCCTTCTAAGGCCTTCAGGTTATCTACGTTAGTCTTTGAAGTCTGGTTCTGAATAATGTTCCTAAAGTTCATGATATATAAAGTTCTTTTAAAAATACTCAAATTTCTTTAAATAACCTATCTTTACTAAGACAAGGACAACGATTCATACCTTGTTTTCCATGAATTATGATGGTCATAATGATATCTTGAATCATATTTCTCTTCTTCATTTCTAGAATAGAAGCCCATCGTGTTGGCCCTCATCTATAACATCGATATAAGAAATTCAAATTTGGAGTAAAATGGAGTTTTGCTTACTGCTTCATTCAGATTTTTTGGCTGAGAGTAAATCTGCTCAACATTAAGCATTCTTTGTACTATAAAGAGAGTTAACAAGCGAAAAGAACAATGCTTAGCATACATTGCTAATCAAATTCGAAAATGATGAATTTGAAGAGGAGGAAGATATCCTCCAGTAAGTTGCACTAGGATTTCATCAATTTATTCTAAAGAAATAATCGAGCATATCAAGGTGAAATTTCAGGAGTGTTAATCTCTACTTACTCTCTGGAGCACAGATGCAATATGTCTCTGCGACAAACCTTATTTGTTCTGTGAGCTGATCTATAAATACAGGTGAGAGAATTCTTAAATAGATGAAGCAACAACAAGTTTTTTGTCAAACAGAAATTTTGAATAAATGATCAGTTTTTCGTAATAGTAAAAGAGTGATACGTAAGTTTTTAGAATTATAATTTAGCATACTTTCTCAATATTTGTAGCCTCATGGTTATTTAAGAAAATATGATACGAGCATGCTTTGATCAGCATGAATTTGATAAAGAGCCGAACTTTTAATTTTGTTCGATAAATTGCCTTCTCTATAGTACTAATTTTTTACAAGATGACTAGGATTAGATTTTTGCTAATTTCAAGCTAGCATACCTAAGTTAAGAGGATAACACAAGCAGAGTTATTTCGACGCACTTACTGATGAAATCATACAATGGATTCCACCTAATCTTTTAAAATATGTTCCTATCATAGATTGGTCTTCCCAAAATTAATCGAAACATTATTTTCTAATAATATTTCTTACTCAAGAGTTTACTAAAATTAGTTAGGAGCTCCTCAAGCTAAAATTGTTTCATGAGAGTCCTAAAGCTTGGTGTTTCAGCATTAATAACACATATTTGAGAAGGTATTTAACCTACATAAGTCTACCAACTCACATATCATAAAAGAGGAGTCTTATTTGGAATAAAATTTATCTAAATTAAGTTTGACAATAAAGTACCTAGTAAAAGTTATCAGGGAAGCTAAAGCTCACTACTAAGTTGAAGTCCACAAGGGCTGGAATCAAAACTTAGCTAACATTTTCTGAGTTCAAGAATAAAATTGAGATGGGTTAAGATTAATTCTGAACCTTAAGTATTATAATTCAAGTGTTTGATGACTTCTGGATTTCTTCTTGCCTTCTTCCAAGCAAGAAGAATAATCAGGCCAAATACAGCCTATTACAAAAATATTTGCAGATTTTTAAAAATAGTTAATATTAATAATTTGCAAAAGATAACTGCTTTATTTGGTCGAAGAAAATAGAAGAAGATAAAAATAGTAAATTGCTTCTCAAATTAGGAAAAATAATTATGACTTGCAAAGTTATTACCTTTATGAGCTTCAAAACTGATCTGATTCAATGTCTGAGACTGCATTGGAATCTCTCTGCATGTGGGCATGTCATTGAAATTCATACCTTCATTCTGCCAAGATAAAGCGCCATGAGGTGGCTGATAGGTCTGTATATTCATAAATCCTGAACCTTCCATGTTTGAATATATCGTACTCTTAATTTTATTAAATATGGATTTCTCTACAAAGCTCTGCCCTTATGGGGTTTTGGGGTTTTGGGGTTTTGGGG